CGGCGCCCCCCCCGCGCGACCCCCCCCGCCGAGCCGGCATCCGCCTCACCTGGTTTGCACGGGATGGGCTGGATGGGCAGAGCTAACTGGGAGTCCGGAGTCACGGGAAGGGGCTGGTGGCTGGGGGTGAAGGCAGGGATCATGACATAGGGCATGTTGACCTGCTGGAGGGAAGACGGGGAGAAGCGGAGACGCTGGGTAACCGTCGAGGGATGCGGCTCCGGGGGACGGGAGCGGGGCAGCCAGGGGTGTCCCGGGAAGGTGCCCCCGCCTGTACCTGGATCTGCTGCTGCAGCAGGTTGATTTTGTGCTGCTGCTGGATGAGCTGCTGCTGCTGCTTGGCGATCTGGTGGGAAGGGAGATAGGGAGGGTGAGGAGCGCTGGGAGCAGCGAAACAGGGGGGTTAACACGGGGGGCTCCCCAGGGACCCCGCTGCGCTACAGGCCGGCACAAACAGCCCGGCTCTGCGGAGACTCCCAAGGGATACAGGCAAGCTCTGCTTGGAGACACCAGCGAGCGCCCCAGGGACACGGGCAGAGATAAACAAGGGCTGCAGGGCTGAGGCCTCACGGCAGCACGTGCCTGGGGACATCACAGTGCCATAGGGGCCACTGCAGAGAGAAAGAGGGATGTTCAAGAGCAAAGGAGAGAGAAGACACCCAGTGTGGTTTAATTATTTTAAAGAAAGAGAGCAATTTTCCATCTCCTTGGACATCCATCACCCACCTACACATGCAGAAGGGGACTGGACAGCAATGACTTGGAGTCTCCTGGCATCATGGAGCAAAGCGGAATGTCTTGGGGGTGGCACAGCACGGAAAAGGGACAGGTTTCCAGAGCAGGGGATGAAGTCTGAGTGCGCCTGACAGCAAATCCCCCCTCCCACCAGCACCACCCGCCAAAGGGATGTGCCAAGGGACGGATGGTCCCGACCACCAGCCCCCCTGGATTCCCATGGGGCCAGGGAAGGCGCGGGGCACCCACCTGCTCCTGCTGCTGCCGTGCCAGCTCCATCTGCTGCTGCTGCTTCTCGAAGAGCATCGCTGCCATGTTCTTCTGCTCCGAGTGGGCCGTCAGGAGCTGGTCCCGCAGCGTGGACAGCTGGTTGATCATGACGAGGAGCTGCAGCTCTTTCTCTGCCAGGCTCTCCTGGGTTCCTGGGCCGAGGGAGAAGCCAAACAGCTACCGGTCAGGGGCTCGCGGTGCCCCTGCAGCTGGGGACTCGTGGGAGACGCATTGGCAGAGCCAACATGGGATGCGAAGGTCCTGGCAAGCTCTGGGATAGGCCGGGAACCTTCCTGCTCCAGCATCACCTCTGCACTCAGAGGCAAGTCCTTGCAACGCCATATCAAGTCCTCGCCATCCTCCACCCCAACTTAAATCAATGTTTCCTTAGAAAGCTACATGTTTTGATTCAATATGCAAGATGACACCCCCATTTCCCCTCCCGTTAGCCCAGAAAACCCAGTTCCCAGCCCAGCGCGTTGAGGAAGCCGGTGTCGGCAGGCAGCAGGACTCACCTTTCACTTCCTTGGCCTCGGCGGCGCTCCGGCCCAGCCGCCGCCCCCTCCCGGC